CAAATTTCCTTTAATCATTCAATTTAAAAGAAAATACTAGATATTTCTATGTCCATGTATATATGGAAACCGAGTCAAACAAAAGACTATTATGAATACTGATTTTAGGTAGTTGGAAGTTATTTCCGTTGAATTTTGTATCTACATTTCTTACTAGCTTTGTTAATGAGTAGTGTAGCAAATATAACTCAAATTCTATTTCAATCGTTGAATATGAAAAAAATTTGTGCACTTGATATCTTGTTACTTATATTAGTAGTTAGTTTTATAAATTAAAAAAAACTAGAGAATGTCGAGGTGGGTATTATGGGATGACATGGACTGGGAGATAGTGAGCGATTCGCAAACCTTCAACAATATTCCCAGATAAATGCATACGCAAAGTTATATGGATTTACCTGGGATCACGCTACTTAAAGTCAAATCAACTATATCTATATCAATAAAAAGTTCAGAAGGACCATGAAAGACGTGAGAACCAAGAGAGAACACTGATTTAGCCTCAGATCACCGCTTACTGGTCGCCAAAATGAAACTGGAACTCAAGAAGCAATGGACATCACAAAAGTTTGATACGGCGTTTCTTCGGGATTCTAGAAAACCTAGCGAATTCAGGATAGCCCTCAGCCATAAGTTCCAGACCTTTCACGATCTACTCAGTTTGAGAGAAGCAACCATGGAGAAAATCAGAAAGGATCAAGGAGGTAATCAATTCAACATGACATGAGATTTTCAGCCACAGGAAGTACCATCACAAGGAATGAATCTCTGTTGTTACTATTGAAAAAATTGAAGAAAAAGGAACGAGGAGGCAGTAATCAATACCAGCCGAACAAGGCACATCTGTAAATGAACTCTTGAATCGACCAGTCCCGATGAAACCACTCAACATAGATACAGCATCCACGGACGTCTTAATTAATGTTGGCCCATCAACAATTGAAGAGATGAGGCATGGCCACTAGACAAATGAAGAGTGGCAAAGCAGCAAGACCAGAAAATATTCTAGCTAAGGCACCGAAACAACAGATCGTCCAGAAGCGACCGCAAAAATAATCCACATTCCCTCTTCAATAAGATCCGGGCATGAATAAACCGTACCAACAGATGAATAAAACAAGAAATGCCGATTCAAAAAGACTCAAGAAAGGGAGATCTCGACATTAGTGTGAAAACTACAGAGCGTACATCTTCTTCTCAACACAGCACTATAGTCTTTCAACAGAGTCTGCTGCTGACAGAATGAAGGACTTCGTAGATCGGGGGTCCCAAACTTTGATAATCAATAGACGGACTCCATAGTAAGGCATTGATATGACAACGACCAAATTGCCATGCATTACGGATCATTAGTGAAACCAACCGATCCTGAGACTGGAATTTCGTACGCTTCTACACCGAATTTTATTGACTACGAGAAAGCATTTGTATAGTTCTGAGACAGAAAACACCCATATGGAGGCTTCTTTCGTACATCTGCGGATTGTGCATGAAGATCGTCAATATCATACAGAATTCTTATTGTATGGTAATCTAAACAGCCAAAACGGGTGCACGGAGGGACAACTGACAGACTTGTCGACATAAAGAATCGGTGGCATGGTAATCAATGCTTCTCTCATCCTTTCCGCTTTCTTCCTGATGACGACTTGTTCTATTGAAGACGTCAACAGATCAATGGGAAGCAAATGAAAGCGAGGATTAGTGGACAAGCTAGAATGCCAGTTTGACCAATCTAGTCTTCGAGATGATCTAGCACTTTCCTTCCAATATGCAACAACAAAGGTAATCAAAACGCAGGCCGTTAAGTTGAGTGAGTAAGTAAGTAAGTAAGTAATACGACAGATTAGTAGCTATGTAAATGAAAAAATAGACCTAGAATTATCCGGATTTTAGTGAAATTCGCTTGACTGCACCCTCTGTTGTTTTGTTTCGTGACATGATAAACAGTCGGTGGCGGCAAACCGAATTGTATTTAACGACAGATTTACCAGAGTTACTCAGTAAAAAAATTCGGAAAAACATATCGTAAATCGTTCACTTTTACAAAATATCAGTGCATCATATCGTGAACTGGACTGTGTTTTCCTGTTTGCAAAACATTCAATCCATTCGTCACTACTATTCATGCGGGTGTCATACAAAGGCCATTGTGTTCTTCTACTCTTCATTTCTTTATCTTCCCCACTTCTTCACTTCTGCGCACAAATTACGTTGACTTTTTTTTATGTATAATACACCAGTGAGCAACGTGAAATCTACTCTCTTTTAAGCATAATAAGGGTGTGGTGGTTTGAGAGAGAGGATTAACACTGTGATACAAGGCCGGAGGAGAAGTGAAAAAAAAAAAGTGAAAAGTAAGGTCTAGGAAAGAAAAGAAGATGGTTGGGTGTAGTTAAGAGGTAAGAAACGGGTCAAGAGTCCCCTAGTGTAAGACCAATGAAACACAACTGGATTTGTTTATGATAACGCAATGGATAGTAGGGACAACTGGAGTGATGTTGTTTGACACTAGCGAAAAACACATGTTCAGTCTGAATGATGAATGATATTTTGCCAATGAACGAGTTATCGATTTATTCGTTTTTCTTTTTTTTTTTTCAAATATTTACTGATGTAACTCTGTAATTGTTCGTTAATACATTCGTAATAAGCCCCACGACTGTAGATATCATCACTCAACGAATACATCTTAAAATACTACGGATCATCTCTTGACTGCATATTGCCCCCCTATCATCTAACATAGCACCCTAGTCTTTAAATTATGTCGTATTACTACTTACTATACTTAATCTCACATTACTAACAGCCGCTCGCGTTTTGATTAACCATTAGATACCTCGCTTAAGCAATTCATGGAATAGAGCAAAGCTAATATAAGATTCATCACTTCGAAAGTCGATGATTGTAACTAACTTGCATTATAGCTGAAGTCCACGACTCATCTTACTTGCTTCCCATGAATGTGACGATCTTCATAAAACTTAGACTCGCATCATCAAGCGAAGAAGCACAGAAGGTATAGACCGAGTAAGCAGCTCCTGTTTGCCATGGCTCGTACTACGTATCACGAATCGCTATTATGCTCGAACAATGTCTACGTACATGTGTTAGACCCTTCCGTGCAACGAGCTTATTGTGTCACAGAACTTACAATACCCCGAAGCATAGATTATTCTGTATGATATGACGAGCTTGTCTCAGTCGCCACCCGGAGTGTCCGAATGACAAGTCCTTACCAGTAAGGTGTTTTCCTGTTCAGAGCTATCAATATGCTTTCCTCCGTAGTCAATGATAATAGAATACCATCGCCACTGAGCGAGCGAATCAGTCATGTCGAGGACGCTCGGTTTAATACTAACGATTATGATCCAGTAATGATGTACATATGTTCGTTATCAGCATCACTCCTAACGGATGTGCAGTATAATATGAAGATTCAAAGTGAACATTAACGACAGTCCTTCATCTGTCTTTTCCTTAAACACGCCATCATGCCCATGCAAGAGACATAGATAGACTGGGGTGCCATAGCCATCTAGATGAAGATTACGTGGACGCCTCTCGTCCGCCCTCCTCCGTAGTTTGCACAACTATGTCGAAATGAATTATCTTTAGACCTTGGTATTGTCTGAATATGCATATCTTCTTTTCTTGCATCTAATGGTATCTATAATTCAAATACCAATTCTATTAATTTGAAGACGGATGTAGGCTATTTGGTTGACGAGTTACGAACGTTCATACAGCTCTGTTTTCTGCATTAAGCCAAGATTATTTCTAGAGTCATGCCTGACCCTTGTACGCCACTCTTCATTTGTCTAGTTGGGCCAATGCCTCATCTCTTCAAATCGATTGAATGGGTCCCCGAACAATATATTAAAGACGTACCCGGTAGCAACTGCGAATCTCTTAGATGTAGCACGTAGGTCTTCTATGCGGAGAATTTAGTTAATGATGTGTCGACCATTAGCCTGAACGGATTTCAAAGAAGTCCTTACAGTGTGTCGCATTAGATTCGTAGACTTAGAGTATGTTAGATATACTGCCCTACCCTCGTTTCCCTTTATTCCTCAATTTAATTCACATAGTGTACCAACGAGGAGACTCCATCCTAATGAATAGATGCGTTATCTTGCCTCCGTGCGTATGAAAAATATAATTCATGCTTGAATGATTACCTCCTCTGCTAACCTTTCTCGGAATTTTCTTCAGTAGCGTTAGTCCCCTGTCCTCATCACTGAGGGCACTAATTAGATCGTAGAAAGGTCAGCGTAACTTATAGGCTGAGTGAAGCTATCCTGAATTGCGCCTAGTGGTGGCTAATGAATCCCGAAGACAACGCGTTTACAATCAACTTATTAAGTGATGATGCCATTGCTTTGCTGTCAGCTATCATTGCGCGACAGTACGCACGGTGCAATACTGCGCTGAAATTTCAGCTTCTAAGCTCTCGTTAGTGGTTTTCACGTATCTTTTACCCATACGGTCCTCTAAGAACTTTTTAGATATAGATAATAAAGGTATATGATTGAACTTATAAATGTCGCGTGACCATGAATACTTCCCATGATAAACTTTGCGTCAATGCATTATGTCCTTTAGAACCATCGTATTAGTAGCCAACGGCTGCCTGCGAATCTGACCCAGCTCTATACATATAGCTCATAACACCAAGCTGCCATAGTCTATATACCCAGCTAATACCCGCACATCGAACATTCCGTCTAAGTTTTTTTTATTTAATAAGAGCTAACAACAATAAACTCAATGTACTAAGGTATTAATAACAAAGGTATAATCACAACGGGGCCCCCATTTTCTAAAATTTCATATTCCATACGGAACTTTTGCACTAGCAATTATGGCATCGGTCTATATTTGCTAAATCTAATATCTCATTAACAATGGCCTAGCATAAGAAAAATATCTATGTAGACTAAACAATAACTCACGGTATATAACTCTCTCACCATCAACCGTAAATCAGTAATCATAGATAGTCTTGTGCTGATCTCGCTGATAAGTACAACCATAATAGTACGGATTGGCACATAGGCTATATTACTCAATAGACTCTGTATTCTCTTTAAAATTATACCCAAGAATTTGTGCATAAAGAGCAATATGTGAATGCGATTTTATACTCGTGGAAATTCCATGGAAACATAAATACCTAAACACTAATCTTTGGTAGCTTGACACTAAGTTAAGCAATTTCTCAAGCTTTACAGGCAACACTACTTCTTTCAAGATTGTAGATATGCTCTTGACGGTAAGTGTTAAATTGTACAAAATTTAAACAAGGATAACAAATTTTTCAATTAAAGTTATGGAGATTGTTGTTCTTTTTTACACATTTGTAATCGTCAATCAATCATTGTTAGACCACATCATTAGAAACCTGAAAGCGCTGAAAGACGTCAGTTTCATCCTGATATGCGGCCCATCAGATGTTAAGTGTTCGCGCGCAATACCGAAGGTCCCGGGTCCTGCGAGTAACAGGAGTCGTGGATGCGCATTGCTGATGAATCCCATACCAGGACGAGACAGTCGTCCAGTGCTTTCAGGTTTCTAATGATGTGGTCTAGCAATGATTGATTCATGGTTTCAAATGTGTAAAAACAATAACAGATCTTTTGATAAAATCACTGTTAGTATTCTCATAATGACAATTGAAATTTCATTGTTTTTTTAAATAAAAATTTTATCAAGACAACAAACATCTCAACATTTAACTTGTTCAGAGAATATAATAGATACGAATAAACAAAAATATGATATTGAACATTTACATGACTATCAAATTAACAATTCGCTGAACAAATTCAACTTTTCAATTCCTTATAATATCAATAATAATAATAATCACAATCATAGTCAACCTTTTACAATGTTGAGAAGTAGTGCAATGATTCCTAATAATGCAACATCCACATTTAATTCGATCGATAATGCACCGGAAATCTATACAAAATTACCAAATGTGAATTATTCAAATAAAAATCATGAAAATCATGTTGAATTCTACTATAATGAGTTGGATAAAACTTTTTCGACTGGTAAGTTATATTCTTTTTATTTTGGGATTTGGTAATGAAGTGAGACATACGAAATTTAGAATATCACATGTTATAATCATTGGAAAATACCCGTTTTTTGTATACTGATTTTAAAAAAGCTTAAAATATAGCAGTTACAGATTAAAACTGATAATGCCTACGAGGAGAAGGTACGTTCGTTTTGGGGGAATTTCATACACATAGTTCCGTTTATTATTTGGAAGAGATTGAAAGAGGCAACAATTGGGGCAGAATAATATAAATCCATTTTATTTCGTTAGATACTTTTTATCATCGCAGAAATTGATATGCTTAAAAAACTCGGGTGATTCGAAGTGAATATGTGTATCGTGATGTTTTAGAGCAGTTTCAGATCATAAAAAATCGATATTACAGATATATGCAGTATGGACTAGCACATTTCTAAAACCTTGAACTATTGATGATGAAATTGAGATCATAGTAGTTTAGAGTAAAATAAGTTGAAATTGATCAGAATTAAAATTATTTTGTAATGCCTTCGCATACATTTGAGTTCACTTATATCTAATTTGGTTAAGTGTTTCGATTAACGTTTAGTTAACCAAGCCATATTTGTATACGACCGAATATTGCTTACGTTTATATGCATATTCATCCTATTCACTTTAGTGTTAATCTGTTAAAAATATCTCGATGACTCGACATTTCCTTATGTATATGTACGAAAATTTTAATCTCATTAATACACTCACTGATTCGCCAACTCGCTCGCCAATGCACTTGCCCTACTCTGTGTGTTTGTGGTCTGATGGTCCATTTTTTGGTGTGTCAAAAATAAACGTATTCGATTCCTCGTGTTTTCATTCTGATTTATAACCTATCGGGCGCTATTTGGTGACGATTGCCTAGACGAACAAATTACGTCGACCAAGAACACGTTGAATATCAACCCTTCACGATACTAGTGATACACTGGCCACCACAATGTATTCATCAATGAATGAATGAAAAAGATGCAATCAAAGTATGAGAAAGTGTTGAAATTAAGCAGGATGTCATGTTACGAGGATGAAGAGATTTTTCACAGCTTCCTTTTGAACACAAAAAATTTGGTTTCAAAAAGTGAATGGTTATACTAACTCTTGTTACCCCACCCCAATGAAGCATAGGCCACCGATTGATTTTCTCCATTGTGCATTAATCACAAGGAAAGATTTCAGTGAGAGAGATTGCACCTCTGAATGCCTTTGTTTCACTTGACCTTAATACATGTAGTCACCTTGAATAACTTTTATAATTATAAGTATGTTCATTTCTATGATAATTCAGATTTTAAGCAGCTGATGTAAAGAACCTAACGAGATAAAATAGATTCAGATGATTCTGTACCAATCTTTGTGTTTTGATCCCTTCAACATTATTGATATTGTTATAAAACAACGATAAATTTAAAACCCCTTAATCTTGACTTAGTTACTTACTTACTTACTTACGCCTGTTACTCCCAATAGATGAGCATAGACCGCCAATCAGTATTCTCCAACCAACTCTGTCCTGGGTTAACCTTTCCAGTTCTGTCCAATTTCGGTTCATTCTTCTCATATCTTTCTCTATTTCTTGGCCTTCCTCTTTTCCTTTTGCCATGAGGATTCCATGTGAGGGCTTGTCTCTTGACGCAGTTAGGTGCTTTTCGTAGTGTGTGCCCTATCCACTTCCACCACTTCTTCCTGATTTCCTCCTCCATTGGAATCTGGTTTGTCCTCACCCACAGTACGTTGTTACTGATGGTGTCTGTCCAACAAATCTGAAGTATTTTGCGTAGACAACTGTTAATCAACACTTGTATCTTCTGGATGATGGCTTTCGTAGTTCTCCACGTTTCCGCTCCATATAGTAGAACTGTCTTGACATTTGTATTGAAAATGCTGATTTTAGTTTTGGTTGAAAGTTTTTTGAAGTTCCAGATATTTTTCAACTGTAGAAATGCAACCCTTGTTTTTCCAATCCGTGCCCTCACATCTGCATCGGATCCACCTTGGTTGTCGATGATGCTGCCCAGATCTGTTAAGGTGTTAACGTCCTCCAAGGCATCTCCATCAAGAGTGAATTGGTTGGTGCATGTTGTATTGTATCGTAGAATCTTACTTTTTCCTTTATGTATGTTGAGACCTACTGCTGCAAAGGCTGCTGCTACACTGGTCGTCTTCTCTTGCAGTTGTTGCTGCGTGTACGACAGAAGATCCAGGTCATCTGCGAATTTCCGATCGTCCAGATGCGTCCTAGCTGTACACTGAATACCGTGCTTCCCTCCAGATGCTAACGTCTTGTTGACTTTACATTTTGTGATTCAACTAATCAGATATCATCTCCTACACATTTGAGTGAATTTCACTTATCTGTGTAACTACAGAACAATTTTTCATTTTTTAAGTTATCCGAGAGTTTGAGATGTAAACCGCAACCCTAAATTTGAACTAGAAATACTTAAATCTTACTAAGGACCATATGAGAAATGTTCGGAATCTTGTAGATTTTTTGTAAGAATTGGAGAATATCGACCAACTTTATTGATTTGGACGAGTGTATTAGTAGTTGTAGTTTTTAATTTACAGTCAAACTAAGCTGTAGAAAACAATGAAATGAAAGAAAGTAATAACTAACTGAAGGCATGTATTTTGATGTTTGTAAGAGTTGAGAATCATGCATTGAAATGTATCAGTACTCCTTAAACCTTAAATCTTATATTACATAATTTGCAAGAACTGGTTATTCAGTGATCTGTGTGCTGATATATCAATCTGAAATACCCTTGTTACATGAGTCTTTGATATGCGTAGGGTAGCGCTGTAACAATAAAACCCATATTCTCATGTAGAATAATGTTTAAGTTGTATTAATATTTGAATACTCACGTATGTAGCAAATAACTTTGTTATCATGTCCATTTTTGACTTTTTTTTCTTGATATTTGATGGCTTACTGACTGAGGCAAAAGTTCAATAGTCTTTCAAATAAATAGATGAAATGAATTCATACAATCCAATGATTTTTAAAAGCTTCAGTGGGCACTTCTTATCTTATCCCATTCATAATACTCTATATGTGTTCTAATACACACTCGTCTTATCTTCATTTCTACAATTCGTAACAAACCTAGAAGTACTCATATGTAAAATTAGTCAGCTATTTTATCGTTTATGTTCGTTTTTGCTATAATTGCATGCTTAGAAGATTTCTTTGAATTCTATACAACAGTATTCATTTATTCAGAGTATTGTAAAGCAAATCAAACTCCATAGATTTGATGTTTTCATCGGCACAGTAGCTCAACAGTTTTCTTAGATCATATGTACAGACTTTACTGAAAACCTATGTTTACATAAGAGGCACATTGGTTGTCATAGTCAATCTGGATTTGATTATGAATAACTTGGTCTCGTGCGCTGTTACGAATATGAGGGTGTATGTCTCTTCACGGTTGAGGAACCTGAAAAAAAGGTTAGATAAGCATTGGTCTTAAGGATCCGGGAGCGTAACGGCAGAATCCAAGGGAAAACTGCTTGAGGCCGGTCACACAGCTTTTCTATGGGAAGTTTGTAAAGTGTTGGCTTCGCTCTTCAAGTGACCTAACTGTTGGGGATGTTAGATCTCCAGAATTCACTTGGAAAAGGTCCTAATTTTGCTTTTTCATGTTTTCGCGTATAAACTGCTTAGATGACCTTCAGCTTACATTTCCTAATCGGAAAAAACCCTGAAGGTCATTGGTTGATGGACTGTTTTAGTACGCTATTTTTGTGACTCTCCCCAAGGACGTTTCTATCGTATATAAATAAGCTCGATTTCTGTACTTATCAAACCACGTATATTATGAGTGCTTGTAGAATACACTTTTGACGCCTGATCAAGACTTCTTGATATAGTTAGCTGGGTCTGAGACAAACGGATTAGAACAGCCAGTCGTATCACTGCATCATGTTTTCGCTCCATTTACAGAGTAAGGTGAACTAGTAATAGCATTCAAGCATATTCACTGATGAGCATATCACTGACCTTATTTGGGTCGCACTTTTCCAACCCCGTCCGTCCTTGTGAGAATGCAGCATCGCTGCAGATACTAGTTGTCCGAGGGAAACACCTTACTTCTATCATACCCCCATATAGTTAGTCAGCAGCAAGAATTCGTCCTCAGACCTTGATTTGCTGCATTTAGTCTTACCGTTCTCCTATCGACTTGCCTGGCATAATAGGACCTAAAGGAACATCATATTCCAACTAATATCGCCCAATAGGGTCATCATGACAGGCAAGCTTGACTACCACGTCAAGGTAGCAGCTGTGGTCAGGTATTTGTTATTGTAATAAACAATATGTCATAAACTTTCCCAAAGTCATATTGAAACTTTCAACTGCTCATTTCACATATCTGTTCAATAGATTCTATAGTTTTTGACAGTTTAACAAAATAATTTTATTAGTAAGATAGTATTTTTTTTATTTCATTCAATTCGTCGAAAATGTATCGCTTCATGTTTTTATCTAACTATTTTTTCTAGAAAATTCTAAGTCATCATCAATTGATCACATTCATGCAACTCCTATTCAAACATCTCTCCTAAATAATTTCAATTTTCAACAAGATCAACAGACGCTTCATTCAAATATGATTTGTCATAATAATAATAATAATAGTGAAGAAAATTTATCCAATCATCAAATAAAACAATATAATTTATTCAAGGATTCAATGGATTCTTCGCATTTCAAACATGCCAATACTGTTCAATTACAATTGTATGATTTAGTCAATTGTTGTAGTAGATTTCAAAACTCTGTAGCAAGTAATAATAATAATGTTCTTCATGAGAATGATTCAATGTTCAAGGTAAGGATTTGTATTTTTAAAAAGTTTACATGTATATAGTGTAGGGTTACCAATATGTTGAGCCTATATGACCTATCCTAACTTTTGGATAAACTAATTAACCTTTTATGCATGAGTAGTTATTCCCACGTCTTTCGACCTTGTGAATTATTCTCTCATAACCAAGACAGGTGTTACGTATACCTAACCACTGACTGCCTCAACAAGCTATATTTTGTAGTATAGGAGTAGGCTGGAAGAAAGCTGAGGGTGGCTTGAGTTCTTGAAGTCAGTAACAACTAGACTGAGCCATGTTGGTAGGTGTAGACTACTAGGTTGGAGTCCATGAGACAATAGTAACCGATGGTTAGAAGAGACCTTGAATGACTTGTCTCCAAATCATTTTCATTGACGATTGTATCTATTGTGGTCCACGATGTGGCTACTCATCATCTTCAGCTATAATCCTTGAATGATATCTGCAACCCCTAATAATTCCTCTTCTATCTCCACCACTATTGTAGTGAAGGATAACACAGGTGGGGCAACCGAATTGTACTTAACGAGAATAACAGAGTTACTCAGTAAAATCGGAAAACCTTATCGTAAATCGTTCATTTGCAAAATATCAGTTCATTATATCGAACTGGACTGTTCCTGTTGCAAAACATCAATCCATTGTCACTATTCATGCGTTTCATACAAATTCCATTGTGTTCCCACTCTTCCTATCTTGATCTTCCCCCATCTTCTGCTGCCAGACATTACGTTGACACTCACGTCATATACTACTTATAAGTAGCTCGCACAACACTATGACATTTGAACTGACAGTTACGTCTAATACGGTATGGCAACTTGAACTGATGAACATACGTACGAAGTTCTACGTTGTAATTGACTGACTCGAAATTCTAACGATTGGCCAACCTCAGATATTCCAGTAAATTCTGTTTCCCAAATAGCCCAATATATCAGAACACAATATCGTCAGACAAAAATTATTTATGGGGTCAGAATACAACCTAGAACTTTACAGACAAAGCATATTTATAAAGTTAGGACGACCTTAAATATTGACCAATATGAAATGAGATGTGAAAAGTTTGAAAACATACATACGATTATCGGTCTAATGATAGAATTAAACTTAACAGAATAATTTTTAGGATATTTTTATAAATATCCTAACAGTATCTCTATACTAATATGGTATGTTAACTTAAAAACTGATATATGCACGTAAGAAGTTCTACGTTGTAGCTGACTGACTGACTAAAACAATTATAATTTAAAAGGCAGCACGAAACTTACAGAAAAATCAGGATCATTTAGTGTAAACATCAGCTATTAACAGACGATATGATAAAATGCACTATTTACTAAGTATATTACTTATACTTAGATTTGATTCGTTTGACAGCTAACTATTACTAACATGGAGTCTGGATCGAATTCAATGAAGCCGAGTTAGAAGCACAACTTAAAAGACAAGTGCCACTAACACATTGATTCTAACCGATAGAACAAATTATAGCCCATGTTCAGTAAACTTATTATTTACTGATAGATAGGAAGTACATTCTTCAAGTAAACTATGATAATCTTCTCAAAGTTCAGAAATATTACATGTGGAAACAGTTAGTTAACATCAGTGGCATTGCTAACCGAAGGACGGGTGTACTGCGCAACACTTCACTCTGTCCTACTATACGGATGCGAAACATGACCGTTAAGAGTACAGGACATTCGTAGGTTACTAGTCTTCGATCATAGGTGTATCCGAAGCATTGCTCGTGTATCCTTGGACGATCGAGTAAGCAATGCTATCGTTAGGAAACGAGTACTAGGTAAGGATAGCAAATCAATAAATGAAGTGGTGAAACTTCATCAGTTGAGGTGGTTGGAACATGTGTTGTGTATGCCTAACCACCGACTGCCTAGACGAGCTATGTTTTGTGGTGTAGGAGTAGGTTGGACGACAGCTAGGGGCGGCCAGACCAAAACATGGCACAAATTCATGAAGTCACTGACAAGTCGACTGAGTCATATTAGTAGATGTAAGCTATCTGGTTAGGGTCTGCGAGACGAAAATCACCACTGGTTAGAGACCTTGAACGACATTGCTCAAAATCGTTTTCAATGGCTCAAGTGCATCCATTCGTTGTGCTCTCTCAAATCCTAATCTTCTGGATTCGTCAACACATCTACCTTTGTCTTTCTCACCTTATCTCACTGAATTATACTTCTTGAATAATATCTTCAAACCCTAGTCTTCTTCATTATCATTAATGCCTCTACTATCTTTATCACTATGGGATTTGATTTGACATTTGCGTCTCTGTGCTAATGTGGTATGGCGACATGAACTTTTGTAAATACGTACGAAGTTCTACGTTGTAACTGACTGACATCAATGGCATTAAACGATCATGGTATTACATGCCAAGCTGATCAAAATTATTATTATTACATAAATGAATAAATTTTAAAGCGTTAACTACAAGACTAGAGCATCCTAAATTCATTTAGTATATTGTAGTACCTAAATTAAGATTAATCTCTGACAAATATAACTTACAAGTCAAAATAACTTTCACAAGGATAGAGTACAATTGTGATCAGACAGACAAACAGACAGATACAATGTAGAACTTCGTACATAAGTACATCAGTTTAGGTTGCCATACCATATTAGCACAGAGACGTAACTGTCAGTTCAAATCCAACAGTGACAGAGATAGTAGAATTATTAGCAGCAATGGAGAAGATTAGGGAGCGAAGATATAATTCGAAAAGTATGATTCACTAAGATAAATTTAGAAGGAGAAAGATACAGATTATGAGGAATTCAGAAGGTTACAATCAAAAATCACACAAAGTGTGGATGCACCTGCGCTATTGCAAACCATTCTGAGCCATGTCGTTTTAGGTCTCTAACCAGTGGTGATTTTCGTCTCGCAGACCCCAACCAGGTAGTCTACATCTACCAACATGACTCAGTTCACTTGTCAGTGACTTCATGGATTTGTGCCATGTTTTGGTTTGGCCGCCCCTATCTTTCTTCCAACCTACTCCTACACTGCAAAACATAGCTCGTCACGGCAGTCGGTGGTTAGGCATACGTTCTTCTGAACTAAACATCATCATCATCATAGCACAAACTTCAGATAACAGAAGTGAAGTATTTAAATTTCTCCAAGTATATGACATGTAGCTTCTTATTATGTTGACCTCAATCTTCATTGGTTGTTTGTGCTGATAGTGTTGTTCAGAAGAACAATGAAAGCTTCACAACCGAAAGACATCCACCGAAGCTAAAAAAATTCTCTCCACCATCTGAAGATACTGTGGTGTGAGCTACTTATAAGTAGTATATGACGTGAGTGTCAACGTAATGTCTGGCAGCGGAAGATGAGGAGAGATCAAGAAAGGAAGAGTTAGAAAACAATGGAATTTGTATGAAACGCATGAATAGTGACAATGGATTGATGTTTTGCAACAGGAACAGTCCAGTTCGATATGATGAACTGATATTTTGCAAATTAACGATTTACGATATGGTTTTCCGATTTTGCTGAGTAACTCTATAATTTTCGCTAAATACAATTCGGTTGCCCCACCTGTGTTCTCGTTCACTGCAATACTACTTACAGTCTGAATTTTTATGCTATTATCACTTTACTACTTATTATATATGTATATATCTATGGTTTATTAATAGATGAAACAGAATAAACTGGATATATATACAGGACTGAATGATTTTCATCATTTGTCCAGCATCACGAATAATGATATATCGATGACAACAACATCAACAAACAATGGTATTCCTTTAACTACCAATAAATATACTACTATCAGTAATCAACAATTGTCAAATAGTTTGTTAACAAACGATCAACATACCTTGTTATATTCTTCTTCAACAACAACAACACCGACAACTCTTAACAATGATGTTTGTGAAACTCATAGATTCAATGTTCAATCTATGCATATTCCTACAACTTGCTTACTACATAAACAAGAAACAATTTATCCAATAATAAAATTTTCTGTATTAAATATTCTTAACAGACGACATTGAGAAACAATAACTATATATATATATGCATTCAAATCACAGTTTAAACTTGATGACATCTTGTTCGAATCAATTATGTTGTACAAAATGTTAATTTATATATATATATAATGGTAAGGTGTAGGTAAGAAAAAAACATCACAACTTGGGTTCCGAGTAATGTTCAACGGCGTGTCACGCAGAAGTTATAACTCGTCAAGAAGTGTATCACATCGGAATGCATAGCGCGATCAGTGTTTTTTTGAAGACATGTAAAACAAGACAGTCAGTAATGTGTTTGTTTTGCAAATGTGCAAGTTTGAAGATTTGATTGATGGATGTAGTTTGTTAATAAATTGTATTTTCCATTCAATATATCATTTTAATATCTCATATTTGAGTTGTTCATTCATTGCATAGAAACGACGTGAATACGTAAGGCTCGATTGGCTTTTGCCAACTAGCATCACTTATGGCGTAGGCGAGATATTTTGTTCGCTAACCAAAGATGAAGTAGTTAAACTTTATCAGTTTAGGGGTAGTTGGGATATAGGTTGCGAATGTCTAACCATTGACTGCCTCGTCGAGCTATGTTTTGCTATGAGGGAATAGGTTGGAAGAAAGCTCGGCGTGGCCAAACCAAAACATGGCACAAATCAATGAAGTCACTGACAAGTGGACTGAATCATCTCGGTAGGTGTAGATTACCTATGGTTGGGGCCTGTGAGATGATAGTAATCGATGGTTAGGGACCTTGAATATCATGGCTCAAATCCGTTTGTAATGGCGCAGGTTGATTCATTCTTTGTGTTCTCTGAAATTCTAATTCTCTGAATTCCTCATCACCTTAATCTTTCGCTCTTAAAGTTTATTTCACAAGATTATATTGATGACATGATGTACGTACGTACGAAGTTTACATTGTAACTCACTGACCGACTGACATAGGAACGAGCTTACAACAACCAATGCAGACCAGCAGTGATAAACTTTAGAAAATGATCGCCATTGATTTTTTCAATCTATTTCTGTGCCATATAATATTGATCATCTGGGTAGATGGTAGCTCAAAAACGTGCATGACATATACCTAAATTACTTAGGTCAGGGAAATTTTATCTCATTAACAATTAATCGAACATCTTGTTTACTTAGGGATATGAAGTTTTAAGGTGGAAGTGAATTATAGAATACGAATTTCTCTTATTATAAACATGACCTATTACTATTTACACTAACTGACTAAATTGTGTGCTGTTATAGGTATGAGGGCGAATGTTACTTCCCGACTGCCCACATTATGGAAGGGTGTTTCTTGAGGAATCTGAAAAGATAGATTATTGTTGGCTTTAGAGAACTAGGAGCATGACCGCGGAGCCCAAGGGACAACTGCCTGAGGCCGGTCACGCACGGCCTTTTTATGAGAAGTTTTTAAAGTGTTAGCTCCGCTCTCGGTTAAAAGGCCTTAACGCCAGAGACAGAATCCCATCGTCCTCCAATCGACCTGCCTACAAGAACATATGTTCCTGTCAACATACCTCAGTTGGGTTATCACGATAGTCAAGCCCGACAACCACGTCAATGTAGCAGCTACGGCCGCGAAATTATTAAATAAACTTTTTAATTAGGCTATCCTGTAAAATCTATTCTCCTAGTGAGCTATTGTTTGTTAGTACATTCATAAAATTATAAAAGAAGTTTCTAATAAATGGGGATTATCGAAATCAGTTAAAATGTGGTGTGTTTGTTCACTGGGCTAATTAATGGAGCTGATTTGTGAAGATTATATTATTTTCATAGTCAAAATTACTAACTGATCCAAGCCAGACTACCATTAGGAACCTGGAAACACTAGATGGCCGTCTAGTCCCAGTATGAGACTTCTCAGCAGTGTGCATCTATGACGACACACGTAAGGATCGAAGCCAGGACCTTCGGCATGGCGCATGAACGCCTAATCTCTAGGTCACTGAGTCGGAATCCAGTTGTGTTAGTGTTTAGAATTAATCAAGCCATGATGGTGAGTGATCTTGATCCACTTTCTGCGGCGGATCAGTCTCCTACCCGACACGAACTGAATTCTACCGGTCGTGGATAAACAACATTGAGGAGTCCTTTACTAGGCCGAACGACCGTCCAATGTTCCAAGGTTTCTGACGATAGTTTAGCTTGGATCAGTTGGTGATCTCAACCAATAAGTTAATTATTTTTGCAACTACACCTTTAATACAATCAATAAGATTGCTTCTATTTTCAACCTCACTGCCTATTAATCAAAGTAAGAAGTCTGATTTCATCATAAAAGCTTTTCATGACACATTATCTGAATGAATGAATATGTCATGAAATAAATCTTCCTTTCCAATTACCGTATATCGTGCTTAGGTGAATCCATTTATGCGACAGAGGTAATAAGAAGCCAAATACAGAATCAGTTACTTACTTATGCCTGTTACCCCCTATAGAGCATAGGCCGCCCAACAGTTTTCGCCAACCAACTCTGTCCTGGGCTTCCCTTTCCAGTTTTGTCCAATTTTTGTTCATTCTTCTCATGTCTTTCCCTATTTCTCGGCGTAATGTGTTCTTTGGCCTTCCTCTTTTCCTTTTGCCTTGAGGGTTCCATGTGAGGGCTTGTCTTGTGACGCAGTCAGGTGCGCTTTGTAGTGTGTATCCTATCCACTTCCACCGCCTCTTCCTGATTTCCTCCTCCACTCGAATGTGGTTTGTTCTCTCCCACAGTACGTTGTTGATGGTGGTGTCTGGCCAACGAATACGAAGTATTTTGCGTAGACAACTGTTAATAAACACTTGTATCTTTTGGATGATGCCTTTCGTAGTTCTCCATGTTTCCGCTCCATATAGTAGAACAATCTTGACATTAGTACTGAAAATCCTGATTTTGGTTTTGGTTGAAAGTTGTTTGGAGTTCCAGATATTTTTCAATTGTAGAAATGCAGCCCTTGTTTTACCAATCCGCGCCCTCACATCTGCATCGGATCCACCTTGATTGTCGATGATACAGAATCAGTTAGATGAGTCTAATTCATGTAATCGCTGATGTAGACAGACATGAGAATAAAAAAGAGGATTGGAGAAAGGCGAGTGAGCTAATTCAATGTGATAAGGCTTGACCAAATATTAAGAGTCAGACAATAAAAAAGCTAGACATGTGATAGGTGAATCAAACATGCACACATACGCAACAACCGAGATTATAAACGATTAGGTCGAAAGACGTGCAGATAAGAACTCGGGTAAAAAAGGTTAATTCGTTAACCCAAAAATTTGATGATACGAAAGACGATGGATGACACAATGATTATTAATAAATAGAATTTTATTAACTGAGAAATTGTCACTGAACAGAAAGTCATAGTGAATTAATCAATACAAGAGATGACATCTAATGATTGTTCGAACATTTTTAAAACTGAATGAAGATTATGATGTATACTACAAGATACAATTTCAATCACTCAGATATTCATTCAACCTGAAGCTTTCAAGTAATGTAGTGTGGGATGGTGTATAGTTGAGAAACTCAAGATTATGAAGGAAAATTTGCCAACGTACGTCTTATTTAAACTGACTCAGTTAGTCAACTACAACATAGAACTTCGTACATTGGTTCAAGTCGCCATACCACATTAGCACAGAGAGATCGAACTGTCAATTCAAATCCCTAAGTAGTAGAGTTAGTAGAAGTATTAACGGCTATCAAAAAGATTTGTGATCGAGGATGTCCCAGAGGAATCCATTTTAAAATAGAAAAGAGAAAGAAAAAGCGGTCATGAGGAATTCAATAAGTTAGAATGTGAGAGAACACAAAGAATGGATGCATCCGCGACACTGCAAACGATTTTGAGCCATGTTATTCAAGGTCCGTAACCATAGATTACTATTGTCTCGTGGATCCCAACCTAGTAGTCGACACCTACCAACATGGCCCAAACCATTTGTCACTGACTTCATGAAATTGTGCCATGTTTCAGTCCGCCCGTCTCTAGATTTCTTCCAGCCTACTCCTACACCACGCATCATCACTCACCGGTGCGGTCAGTAGTTAGGCATACGTTACACATGTCCCAACGACCTCAACTGATGAAGTTTCACTATTTCATCAATTGATCTGCCATCCTTACCTAGTATGTTTCCTAACAACAGTAGTGCTTACTCGGTGGTCCCAGTACATACAACGATGATCGAATACTAATAAAAAACAGATATCTTCGACTCTTACTGGCCATGTTCCATACTCATAGAGTAGGACAGAGGGAACTGTTGCGCAGTAGACTCGTCCTTCGGTTAGCGAACGGATATCTCACCAACACCATAACTAACGCATGTTGGTAAACACCAGTCGAGCTTTTGTTTACGTGCTGAGATTTAGTCAGGCACCAGACCGTCAGCACTGATGAGAACCCTGAGATAAGTGAAGTAGTTGACACAATCAACTGATTCACTCCTTATTACGAATTCGCGTGCCGACGCAAAACAATCCTGAAACAAAATTTTGCTTTTCAAAGGGGAGAATCGCATCCCGAACGTGCTTGCATTATGGCGTAAGGTGTTCAGAATTCTCTGCATTTTGTCAGCGTCTGCACTAAGTAGAACTATGTCATCGGCATATTCTAAGTGGGCTAGTGTCACTGCTCAAAGCCTGTCAATAATAAAATTGTATAAGGATCGAGACAGTGGACAACCTCGACGAACACCACTCAAGGTAATCTATTCGAATGGCAGTGCGCCATAAGATCTCACTCGACCAGTGGCGTTCGAGTAGAGGGCTTTCATAAGGTTAATGTACTTCTCTGGTACACCTTTTACTGACATATAATACCACAAAACCCCACAATCGACAGAGTCAAAATTCCGCTTTAAGGTCCAGGAAGACAACTTTTGTCGGACGCATAAATGTGTGTGTTCAAGGACCTGTCGTGTGAAGATGTGGTCTATAGAGCCACGTCCACATCTGAAACCAGCCTGGTCTTCTCTATTCTGCTCTTCACGAGCTCTGTGATTATCACAAGAGGAATTTTTCCCTTCTTATAGGCCGGACGATTCAGGTTGACTGGAGATCGTGGGCAACCGAAGTGTGGCTGAAGGCCAGTTGTAATGATCCCTCAAGTGTTCTACCATAGATCCAATCCCTTGGGTTAGGAACGAATAATAGTCCCATCCTTTTTCGAGATAATCGGATTTCTAATATAGGTTTCCTTGATGAGTCTGAACAGTTGTCTACCGTTACCTATTGACGCTGCCTTTTCCACCCCTCTTGCTTTCCTTACGCACTACTGTTCGCGACCCTTTCGTAGGCTCTTTATCAGCCTGCACCTAAGCTGACTACACTCCTCATGTTTAGAGCTAGACGGGATGAGCTTCCGAGCATCTATGAGTTCAGAAAATGCTAGTGATATCCCCTGCTTCCCTCAAACTTTATGGTTTGCTTTACTGGCAGATATCACTGCTGTTTCCACAGCTGTACGAATATCGTCCCAAGCTGCCTCAGGGTGGATATCATTGACGTGGGTGCCTAACTGTTTTCCTAGTTGCTCCTGGAATATATTATTGGCTTCGTTGTCATTAAGTACAAAACTAAGGGGTTTAATTGATACCTCTTTCTTTCGTCCAGTAAGACGTAGAAAAATATGCGATCGTACAATATCATGATCTGAATCTAAACATGTGCTCCAGAATGAGCGGGAGTCCCCAGTGAAGCTTCTCCACTGGTGACTGATAGCGATGTAGTCTAGTCGGGTCCCATTGTTGGGGGTCGGCATGTCAAAGGTGTTTTACCTTATCCTTATAGTTTTTGCTAGAAATAAGTGGTTATCTGGGCACAGCCTCAGCAGACGGTCACCTTTATCTGTTCGATCAGCCGCGACACCATAAGACCCACGCACGCGTCTTGCGTTTTTGTTTCGTCTACCTACTTGAGAAACAGTCACCCGCAACTGTTACTACATCAGAGTGCCTAACCTTCTGGAGTAGGTCCGATAGCCTTCTGCTAAATTCACCTTTTATCCCGTCCGGGTTGCAGTCAGTGGGAGCACAGGCAGAAACAACGGGGACTATCCCTATCTTTACGAGTTCTTACTGACCCGTTCAGTCGGACAGCGCTCAAGCGACTATCTGCTGGGACCCAGTCTAACAGAGTTAGTCCTGTCCTAGGACTTAATACCATACCTGCACCAGCGATGCCGCGTAAACCGAGTTGGTTCTTTAGCTGGACAAAGTCGAACTAATGATTCTACTAGGATCCTGTATCCGCGTTTCGTAAAGGCGGCACACACCGATGACACGAGATTCCACGGTCTTAACTTAGTAAGGCCGGCGACCTATTTGGCACAAGGTCCGGATACTAAAATCTACAACATGTAGTTTAGAGTGTGGTCTAAGTAGACTAGGAATAATGTATCGTGTACTCAAATCGTCTGTATCAGTGATAAAAGGATGTGAGATTTGGTCATGAAGGTAAGAGGTATACGGAGGATCTGATTGTGACCAATTTGGTCTCGCGTGCTGTTAAGGTTATGAGGTCGGATGTCATTTGTGGCTGCCCACACAGTGGAAGGATGTTTCTTGAGGAACCTGAAGAGGAAGGTAGATTTGTGTTGGTCTTAGAGACCTAAGAGCGTGACCGCAGAGCCCAAGGGGCAACTGCTTGAGGTTGATCATGCACGGCCTTTTTATCAGGAGTTTTTAAAGTATTAGCTTCGCTCTTGTTTAAAAAGCCGTACCACCGAAAACGGAAATCTGTGAGGTAGGGTGAGGTGTGACATTTTTAGGGTCGACCGATGCTAACCCATTCCTTCCTTGTGAGAAGGCAGCATAGCTGCAGATGCTGGTTGTCCGAGGGAAACACATTACTGCTGTCACACCCTTCTACAATCAACAGTATGACTTCGTTCTCAGACCTTGAATTACTGCTTTTAGTCTTACCGTTCTCCGATCAACTTGCCTAGCAATATGGGACTGAATTGAATTATTCACAATCCCTTTGATGACAAAAAAACAAATATAGTGTAGGAAAATAATGTTCAATAATTTACAAACTTATGTGACAAGTAATAAAACAATATGGTAAAGGATAATTTAATACACAATAATATTTACATAATTTTTCAATGTCAATTTACACTTGATGGTACAAGTTTTTCTGTATAATGTTCGACAACTGTATCACACAATTGATCAGCTACTTCTAAACTAACTCCAATCATTTCTTCTCGCCATGATGAACTTTCTATTCGACGTATATCACGAATTAAATAACTGTCATGAAGAGGGAAATTAAAAAAACAAGTTATTGATCGATATTATTTACAAATTTGGATAGAGAAATAAGAAGACATATTTTGTGAGATAGTACCATTTCGTGCTTTCTCGTCAGTCACATACAAGCAACATGTTATTTGTGTAAATACCTCCACTTCACTAGTTTCTGCCCCATACAATATAAACGTTCTGTTGTCAAAACTTTATTCGCTCGAGCAAGTAAAAACTGCACTGCTGATACATTGAACGACGAATTCAAGCTTATTACTGAGGCACTTAAATCAAACGGATATCCCGAAACGTTTATTGGTCATCAGAACACAACTACGACGAAGCTGATAGCAACTGATGTGCCCAAGAAACCAGTGTACCTACAGTTACCTTTCAAGGGTGATCATTGCATGAAAATTACAACCAAACAGACTGCAGCTGCAATAAAAAATACCTTCAATACAGCTAACCTGAGGCTTATCACAACAACTCAATCGATCTCAGTTACCCCAATCAAGTCTCCAAGACCGATTCAGTCCAAATCCCACTGTATTTACCAATTCACATGTAACTGCGGAGAAAGTTACTTAGGGAGGACAGATCGCCGATTGGAAGACAGGATAGGGGAACATATTCCAAAATGGCTAATCAAATCCATGATTCATCCACCACCTAGCCCGTCATCTCAAAATCGATCAAGAAACCCAGCCTCGTCCATTGCAAAACATCTAATGATGAGTGGTCAATAAATTGACCCAAAATCAGCCTTTAGAGTTGTGACATGTAATCGAAACCCACACACACTGAAACTACTCGAAGCTATCTTGATTGGTTGGAAAAGTCCAACTTTATGTGTTCAAAAACACCTGTATGTTGACCTTTGTTTACCATGGTTCTAGTGAGTGAATGTCATGCTAAATAAGAAATTTTGACCTTTTTCTTCAAAACTGCTGTATTTACATAAATAACATGTTGTTTGTATGTATGTGACTGACGAGAATGCACGAAATGGTACTTAATATCTCACCAAAAATATGTCTTCCCATTTCTCTATTCAAATTTATCATCAAAGGGAACACCACTGTTTTGAATTATTTACAAATACCAAAAAATGAAGAATTTCTGAGAAATTCAAAGGAAAGGCCAAATTAAATATTTCATTTCCCAGTATTGGTTTCATCATCATCATCATCATCATACAGAGTATTGACTATTTTATCGTCAAGATAATGTAGAGTAGTGTCAAACAATCCACGGGGAATTACATAATCTTATTTCTTTTTAAACATGGATGATAGATTATCTTTTCTGTACTATACTTTGTTGTCACAACATATCATTCAGAAGGGATAGTCGATAAAGATCTAGGTTAGAACATAAAAGTCATAACTACTGATGTATGATGTATTTTATAAACTCGTCATAAATGATTCTAAATACCTGGGATTCATTCTTCCTGGTTATAGTGTGGTGTGAGCTACTTATAAGTAGTATATGACGTGAGTGTCAACGTAATGTCTGGCAGCAGCAGATGGGGGAAGATCAAGAAAGGAAGAATGGGAACACAATGGAATTTGTATGAAACGCATGAATAGTAGTGACAATGGATTGATGTTTTGCAACAGGAACAATCCAGTTCGATATGATGAACTGATATTTTGCAAATTAACGATTTACGATATGGTTTTCCGATTTTACTGAGTAAATCTGTAATTTTCGTTAAATACAATTCGGTTGCCCCACCTGTGTTCTCGTTCACTACAATAGAAGTACGTTTCATGTCCTATTAAACTGGAACAATATGGTATCAGCAGTGGATTTGGCAAATCCTAACCAATAATTGTTGGCTCTGTTGGAATGAACTATTTGATTAAAGTAAAAAGTAACTGCCAAGGGAAACAATGTTTACAATGGACTGGAGCTCCGACGTAACCAATGAATATGAATAAATGTAGTTGGAGTTATGGTGTTGATCTTATATGTAAATGTTTGCATTGTATTTTCAGGCACAAAAAAATAGACAAACGTTCAGTTGACCAGTCAGTCATTCACTTACAATGTAGAACTTCGTACGTACTTACATCAATTCAGGTTGTCATAACGCATTAGCACAGAGATACAGCTGTCAGTTCAAACCGCATAGTTGTAGAGATAGTAGAAGTATTAGAGGTAATAGAGAAGATTTGGTTTGAAGATATTATTCAAGAATTATAATTCAGTGAGATAAATTTAGAAAAAGAAAGATAAAAGTGATGAGGAATTCAGAAGATTAGAATTTGAGAGAAAATACAAAATGGATGCATCTGCAGCATTGTGAACAATTTTGAGTCACGTCATTTAAAGTCTCTAACCATCAGTTTATATCGTGGGACACCCGAGTGAGCAACGCTGTTATTAGAAAACGGGTACTAGGTAAGAATGGCAGATCAATAGATGAAGTGGTGAAACTTCATCAGTTGAGGTGGTTGGGACATGTGTTGCGTATGCCTAACCACCGACTGCCTCGTCGAGCTTTGTTTTGTAGTGTAGGAATAGGTTGGAAGAAAGTTAGGGGCGGCCAAACCAAAACATGGCAGAAATCTATGAAGTCATTGACGAGTGGACTTAGCCATGTCGGTAATTGTCGACTACCTGGTTGGGGTCCGCGAGATGATAATAATCGATGGTTAGAGACCTTGAATGACATGGCTCAAAATCGTTCGCAATGGCGCCGGTGCATTTATTCTTTGTGTTCTCTCAAATCCTAATCTTCTGGTTTCTTCAACAACTCTAGTTTTGACTTTCTAAACTTATCTCACTGAATCATACTTCGTGAATAATATCTTCTAATCCTAACTTCTCCGATTACTTCTAATACCTTTACTACCTCTTCTACTATTGGATTTGAATTGACAATTATATCTCTGTGCTGATGTGGTATGGCGACATGAACTGATGTACTTACGTACGAAGTTCTACGTTGCAACTGACTGACTGACTGACTAACCATCAGTTACTATATTGTCGTGTATCCCAACTAGAGGTAGTCTACACCGGTGAATGATCTATATGACGACTGTAAAAATTTATCAACTAGAAATTATCAGTAGAAATAGTAGGATAAATCTAAAATTTAAATTTAAAATTTAACGATTACCTATCATTTTTACGCCATTGTATTCGTGTATCATAGACTCGTATTAGTCCACCATCGATGCGTAAGAAAAAACGTTGTAGTAGAAAAAAACCAGAGGGCATAGCACGAAATTTTATATTCAAATTAGATATACCATTATCACCTAGTTCATCTTCATACAATGTTGTATTGACAAAAAAGTGAATTGGATCTTTTCGACGTAAATATTCCATATCTAAACCTTCCGACGTTGAAGATATACTCCAAGGACCTAGATTGAAAGTAATTCAATCAGTCAATCAATCAATTAAAAAAAAATGATTTATCCCAAGAAAAGATTGTGTTATATTATCAAGTGAGATACCATGCTAATTTCCTTCGAACGATAGCGATCTTGGATAGGATACACATTGTGGAAAGCACCCAACTGCATCACAATACAAGCACTCACTTGGAACCCTCAAGGGCAAAGGAAAAGAGTAAGGTCAAGGAACACATTACGCTGAGAAATAGAGAAATATATGAGAAAAATGAATAAAAATTGAACAGAACTAGAAAGGGAAGCCGGAGAACAGAGTAGGTTGTAGAATACTGGTCGGTAGTCTATGTTCCAGTGGAGGTAAAAGGTGTGAGTAAGTTGATACATTCGAGTAAAAAAAACGACAACAGCTTAACAATCATAACTGAATGATGATGTAGTGAAGAGGAAAAAGTTTTAGAAATTAAGCTTCGCGGTAAGCTTATAATATTATTGGACCGACTAATCAGCAATACATAACCGCTGATGATGTATTTGTTAGACAACGATTTATCTCTTTTATTTTTATATTCGGTATTTTTTAAATAAGCATATCGTTTTATTGATGAAAGAATTGTTCCTACCGGTTAACATTTTCTCTTACCTTCTCATAATCATTTATTTGGAAGATTATGTCGACAGTTTGGTCTTATGAGTAGCTAACATTTTAGCACATGATATCATCAGGCGATTGACATTTTAATCATTAGTTTTAACAACCCTAGAAAGGGATACTTGTTATTCCTGAAACTTTTAAAGCGATTCTGTACAATGGTGAAGACAGGGATCAGTCTTGTATGTGTTTACGGATGAAAGAGGATGTTACTTCCCGGCTACCCACACCATGGAAGGGCTCTGGTTGTCAGAAGGCGCATCGGCCTCATGACTTCCAAAGGGACTCGGCTTTCATCATGAGACGTCATGACCTTCTAACTCCCAGTTTGAATTTTTTCTGGTCGGTGTTTTTTTGGCGAATTAATTTTCTACAGGATGGAGTCGCCAACCCCAAGACCAACCCTCCTCCTTTCTCCCGGCTTGTGACCTGTAGTAGCCCCGGAGGGGCTCCAGGCGGAGTTTGATGACAGAGGTGATCTGGTTATTTTGTGAATAAATAAAAAGTCAACAAAACTTACCAGATAAAGTGCCAGTATATGGAGTGGTGAAAGTCCAATCATACGGTTTATGCGCTATTATATTTTGTTCATCAGTAATTCGAGAATCTCGCCAATCTTTAGCAAATGGTACCTTTGAATGAATTGTTTAGACGAGTGTATTAAATAACTTACCTCTATAGTGATATTCTTTGGATCGACTAATTTAAGAGCGTCCAATGCATTGAATTCAATTTTACATATTTGTTTATTATTTTTTATTTCATCTAAATTTTTTGATTGACAGAAATAAATTGACAAAGAATTTTGATCGAATATCATTTCAGGAATAGTTGGAAGTTCTAAATTATCTTCAAATGCCTCTCTTTCTTTACCAAGAGATTTTAAAATATGATATTCTTTGAGAACAATTAACCAATCATCTAAACGGTGTTGAGAAGATTTTACACTATTCTGTTCCATATTTGAGTTCAACATAATATTCCTATGAAATAGATTTTAAGTAATGGAGAAGTGGTCAAGCACAGTGTAAAATAATTACAAGAGTAATGCAATCTTTCTTAGCAAAAAATATACAAAGACATAAATGAAAACAAAGTTACAAATTGTAACAAACATATACTTATCTTAATGTATCTATTAGGTTACGGTCCGCGAGACGAAAAACAAAACGATGGTTAGAAACTTGAATGACATGGCTCAAAATCGTTTGCAATGGTGCAAGTGCATCCACTCTTTGTCTTCTCTCAAATTCCTCATCACCTATGTCTTTCTCTTGCTAAAGTTATTATACTTCTTGAATAGTATCTTCGGGCTCTAATCTCTATTACCGCTAATACTTCTACTATCTCTACAACTATGCGGTTTGAACTGACAGTTGCATCTCTGTGCTAATGCGGTATGGCAACCTGAACTGATGTACGTACGTGCGAAGTTCTACGTTGTAATTGACTGACTGACTGATTATGAATAATTACTACACCAGGATGAAGTGTTGTAATAGATAAGAGTATCAAAATATATTCACATAAGTACTTCAATAATTTTTTCATCACAAAATTGACTTTAGTACAATACGCTATAAAAAAGAAACTAATAAACAAGGAGAAATGATTACATTGTAAGATGGGGAAGGTTAAAGAATCAATGAAGAAATAGATATGAACAGTAGGTAGTGAATAAAATAAAAGATTATGGCAAGATCCCTCCTGGCTTCTTATGTGGATCACTGCTGAAAACATTTAATATTACTGATCAGCGTGACTTAGAAAAAACCCCATCGGTAAGTACTGATGAACATACACACGCCAGTTTAAACCAAACAAATGTAAATACTCCCTAAGTTTCCAAACTATGGTTGGTGGAGAATAGAGAGCCAAAATTAAGTTCATAAGCTATACGCTTCCTCAGGATTCTGGACCTTATGTGCATAAATGGTTTGGAATCACTGTTTTCCGACTCATCTAGATGGATCTTCCGTACTCGCTAACCTAGTTTAGGAGCCACATACTCGACTTTCTTCGTTTCAAATTTGTGAGCAACACCTGTGTCGCGAGAAGGCAATGAGTAGGACTTCTCTGGCCATGGCTATGAGCGTATAACCATGTGAGAACATTCCAAGAGTAAGTGGAAAATGGTTTAAACTTGTGATTTATAGGGTTTACAGATGGCTTAACTGGTAAACTGCCGTTTCAATGAAGGTCAGTGGGTTATTTCTGTTATTCAGTACACGTTTTCAATAGATTAAATGTATTCGTAGAATAATCTGCATGAAATAATGTTGAAACCGGAAACCTAGCTTTACGTGTTCAACTAGCGAGCAAAATTATTGACAAGACCAAACCTGCTTAAACAGAGATCAGTTTCGGGTACTAGTTAGTTCAAGACTGAGAATAAATATTTTGTCCCAGACTTCAAAAAGTCGTCATCAATCTATTAGGAACTGTAATAGGCAGATAGCTTATTCATCTACAGACTGTTATTCCATGGAAATAAATTCTGAAGAGAAGACAAACAACAGTAGTTATCAGACGTCAGACCCATAATCTAAATCCCATCTTCTTTTAAGTCAGATTTTTTTAAACGAGGATTGAGAATGAAAATGAAGGGTTAGTTCAGACACAGCACTAGTTGCTTAAACTTAAAATATTGAATAAATTCTGCAGTAGCATAGTACTTTTGTCAAAATCTTAGTATTCTTTAGCCGTTTGAAATCGCAAAACGGATAATCTGCACTATATACATGGGTCAGAGTCGACAGTAGCGAATTTATTTCCGCACGAAATCGGAAAACTATGGTTATGACATTTAGTTTTGATTATCGAATTAAATTCGTAGGACTGAATCATGTAGAACGCTTAAATTTAAATCAGACGGATAGATGACAAGTAAAAACGGTGAATCAATCGAACGTAATAATAATCTGTCAACGAAATTCGGGTGAGACAAGTGACCGGGAAAATTAGCCAACTTACTAGTATTGTAAAGGACGATTGTATGGGAAACAGTCTTAAGGCTCTGCATGAAGATTACAAAACCAGCGATCTCACGGAGATGCTCTTCATATAACCAATCAGATGGACAACCCACTGACTTTTGAAGTCAAGGTCAACCCTAGCCGATCAAAGTAGGCGGTATGTTTTTTGGGCTCCCCAGATGTACAAGTATTCTTCGGTGAAATATAAGAAGCTTTCTTTAAACAGATTCCCTGATCACTGATGCTTCAACGTACCAATCTAGGAATACTTATGGATCAAAGGATAAATATAGGCTAACTGTAACTGAGTCCCAAAGAAAACCTACTAATCAAGGGTTGTGTTCTCTCGTAGCACCAAACGGGAAAGACCTCACCAACCTAGAGATGGCCGAGATCTTCAACACTAACTTTGCTGAGCAGTTAAACCAGGCGTCCACATGTTCAGAGTACTACGCAAACCCATTTCCAGAAGACGGTTAAGGAAACATCCGTATCACTCCTGACTTAGTACTAAGCGAACTAAAATCCTTACGACCAGGTAAGTCACCAGTTTGTGACAAAATTCGCCTCATAGTCTTGAAAAAATGTGCAGAAGTCCTCTGTTCACCGATATGTGACCTGTTCAGGCATTCATTGGAGTCACACCAACTACCAGCTGAATGGAAACAAGCTACTCTCACTCTCCTACCTTCAAAGGAGGAGATAGGAATGACCCAGCCTGTTACAGACTAATCGCATTACCACCAATACTATCAAAGGTAATGGAAGGGCTGGTGGACGAGCGATTGAAGGAGCACATGGATAAGAATAATATACTCCATGGTGGTGTGCATCTAATCTTCTCATTGCATGGGACAGTTGGACATCCAGTTTGGATCGAAAGTACCGGTGCACGTAATATTCCTCGACTTTGCAGAAGCCTTTGACATAGTACACGACGCACGCCTAATTGAAAAGGTTGTGGAAATGGGCTTCACTGAGCCACTAGTATCTTGGTTCAGAAACTACCTTCAGAATAGAAAGATTCGTACCAAAGTAAATACAGCGCATGCGAGCTGGTGAGTATCCACATCGGGAGTTTCACAGTAGACCATCTTTAGGCCTAATTCTCTTCCTGATATTTATTAGCGACCTGTTAGGCTCAGTTAGCTCACCGGCATTGATCTACGCAGACGATGCAAAGATCTGGAGGTCCATTAGAAGCGAAGAGGATTCGGCTGAGCTTCAAAAGGACCTTACATCTATGGGCAATGAAAAACGGTTTAAAACTCAACCAACCGAAGTGTCACGTCATGCATATTCTGCCCCACACGACGCAAACGATCTACGCCCTCAATGGAAGTTAGATCCCTAATGTCTCCTCAGAGCGCGATCTCGGTTTAATAACCACATAAAGCCTCCACACGAGCCGAAATTATGTAGGGGACATAGCCGAGGTAAATGCGACTCTTCACTTTATGCGAAGATAGCTTGGTGCTATCATACCTTAACTATTTTTGACACTATTTAAGACGTACGCGCACCCACACCTGGAGGTTTGCAATATCATCGCACCCCCTCTGCTAAAAAGAGGATTATCAACTCCCTCTTGGACAAGCTGTTCATGATGCAAATCTTGAGACCTGATAGTTGTTATCATTGCCATCTCCTCAGATCGCCTCTCATCTCTGTTTCCTCTACCGCGCTTACACTTCGATCCTCTCTCACAATCCTCACTACCAATTAATAAACTAAATTCATCCATGTATTACTCGGTTCTGAAATTTTATTCATATTAGCATTAAAACTTTAGCCTTATTATCCTTATTACTCTCCACATTGCAACCAAATGATCTCCGGTTTGGTAATGGGATGGCTGCTGGTATCCAGAAGTCCTAATGCCCTGGAACAAACGTTTTCATTCCAATCCCGAGACATACAAATTCACAACCAACTGCCAACTGACTAGAATTAGACGGTCGAATGGCTAGACCTCCATTCATTGGACACTACCGAACACCTTGAACCGTACAGAAAGAACAAGAATCGAGCGCAAAGAAATCAACTGGTTTACACTAGCTCGTGAAAAAGATATTGGGTATATTGGAGTCCTTCAGATTTCATCGTTGTCCCCTTAACAAGTAGATGGAGGTCTCTCGAACCACCTGGGCCGGCAGCGAATTCCCGAACTACAGTACTCTTGCAGATTTGAAGGTATGCCTAGTGTTCATTCAACTATGTCGTGTGTCTGATTTCCCCAAGTTTGTTGCTTACACAGAACATATGTAAGTATTTCATAAGGTGATCATGAGTGTTAAATACGGTATAATTCATTGGAAAGGGATTTCTGGGACGCCTTTACTCCTACGTTTAAAGTTCCAGTAATTTCGCGTATCACCTTAGAATACATATCAGGGTATTCTTATACTTTTGGAGTCTGTAAGAAAACATTGTATTTCCTTACACTCGAAGGTGCCAAATATAGCTTTTAAGTGTTAGGTGAAAAAATTTACTGTAAAACTAGCTAAAAATGAGCTCTTAGTTTATCTGTGCAAGGTTTCCTAGAAAGCCATTTTTGTTACTGCTTGCGCTGCACTCTAGATCACGGGTACCAAAATTATTTTTCAACTTCGGATACCTTTGGTTCAGAATTATTTAAGTTGTATGCGTAGTCTTCAATGAACTATTCTATACTTTAGGCTGTTGAAAGTAAGTCTTTTACTACTCACACAACTTCGAAGGGCTAGCTTATCATCCTAGATGCGAACTTCTCTCCAATGTTTAACATCTCCAGAGAACGGTGACAACTCAAAAATCCTTGCTGAGGAAAGTCATCCAGGTAAATTTGCAAAAAGGAAAGAGTAGCGATTCCAATAATGAATTCTGAGAGACGCAGCTAGGACATGATCCAGTAAAAAGCTCTTGGAAGATCGAGGTATATCATATAGCGCATATTTTAACCTTCTCACATCTAGAGCAACAATGCTTATGAGTCTATGGAATATTTGCACATTGTGGGAGACAAAAACAGTTGTTCAAGTTGCTGCTAAAATGAAACGATACAACCTCAAGGTTCTTGGAATAGGCAAGACCTATTGGACGCGGAGTGGACAAAAAAACCAGCTTCAAGAGAGATGCAGTTTTACTCCGGCCGTGAAGAATAAAATGCCTCACACACTAGAATTTGCTACGACGTTAGGGGGGCGTCGTGGAACAAGAATTATCAAAGCATCCTCCAAAACAAAGAGTGAAATACATTGAACGTCGTCCAGTGCTCTGCTACTACCAACGGTTACAATTAAGACATTGAGGATCAATACTTCGATAGGCTGCATTCAGTCTTCGGGAAATACCCAACAAAGGACTTGACCATTCTGATGGGAGACCTAAGTGTAAAGGTTGTAATGGACAACACCTGGATATGAGGACTTTATGTGATGACACAGACTGGGAGAAAGGAACGAAAATGGTGAGAGATTTAAACACCAGTGTGCCTTCAACAAACTGGTCATATATATTTCCGCATAAAAGCATTTACAATGTCACATGGGTTTCACCGGATGACATTACACAGAACAAACTGACCATATCTGCATCAATAAAGAGTTCAGAACTATGATGGAGGTTTGGAGAACTAGGAAAACAGATGATATTAAACCATATCACCTCCTGATCGCAGTGAAAATAAAATAACTTCCCCTATTATAACAGTTTAATAGATGTTTATTTCCCCACTTACCAACAACCTAACGCCTTGCTTTCTTACATATTGGTAGCCTGACTCGTGAACTTTTAACACGATTTTTTCTTATTTTCCTTCGCCAGCTGACTATCCTTCCTATCTGAAAAATCACTATTAACTGACCCATGTCTTACATTTTATACCGTTAGTTAACCAAATATCAAAGTGATGTGCTGAGTGGATACAGAAGCCAAAGTTTGCTTGTAACATGGAGCTAGTAAAGAATGTGTATTCCGACAAAGTGAACAAAAAATAGAGCTTTGAATAAAAAAAATTAATTAAAATCTACAAATAAACATAAAAGAACGCAACATCATAAAATGAGGGAGGGTGATGTATCTGACAAGCATTCATGCCGACGGGGCGATAACTTAGCCTACCCATGTATGTGGAGCAGAACATTTTGTTTACTTACCGCTCCTAACGATGTGGTAGGACGTAATTAATCAATGATTATGCCATTACTTTTCCATGCTCGACCTCGTTTACGACTCATGTTTGTAACTCTGTTACGAATGCACGTAAACACGTCAACTTGGTGTGCTTGCACTATTACGAGTTTACCTTAGTCGGAAAACGAGGGTGACGATCGAGGATCCGGTGACATGACATGCTACTCAAATCCGAGTGTCCCAGCCCCCATTTATTCAAAGAAGAAGACTTGATATGAAGTTGAACATGTATTTCACAAGCATTCATAAATTACGAGGTCCTAGTCCAGAAGAGAATCACGATCCCGGACTAGGGATCCGGTTCCGAGTCATAAAATATTACAGATAATGCTTATCTACACATTTTGGTCGAATCGGAGACAGCATCAAAGTCTGTGACATTGACAGTTAGGACAACCAATAGGAAGCAACATTTGAAGTGACAGTGATAGTCAGGACAACCAATAAGGGACAACATTGGAGCACGTGACATTGATATCTAGGACGACCATAATGTTAACCAGTAGGAATTATCCAAAAGGAATTGACCAACAATTCTCTTAGGATATTGGATGAATATCTTAACAACAGCTAAGCCCGATTTCACACTTTACTTATCACTATGTTTCTGATTATTTGTATTATATGTTTTAATATTTTAGTTTTCACTGTAGTTACTTTTTTAAAATTATTTCCCTTGATTCTGTTCTTGTAAATTTGTAGCTTTGTCTGACCCGGTCTTCACTTGGTACTGATCTCTAAGCTGTCCTCTACACATAACTTCACTGTATAGTCTGTAGTAAGAATTCAGATTATTGGTGATTATCTTCTCAAGTACACAATGGTGTTGGAAATTTCTTCAAAATGTTCTGCTGTACACAGTGCCGAATGCTTTCTCCAAGACAAGGAAGTTGATGTAAATTGGTTAACTGAATTCAAGTGATTTTTCAACAGTGATCCGTAGTGTTGAGACTAGGTCAGCAGACGATCAATCGTATGGAGTCCAGCTTGTGATCTCTT